ATTTTTATTTTTCCACGGCTGCTGCTTCATCATCTTCTCGTCCATTTGCGCTGGGCTTTTTGCAATCTCTCGGTTATAAATCAATCCCCGAGGCTTTAGCTACCGTTTTCTTCTTGTTGTTCGGCGTGCGTTTTCCTTTTTCTTTTCTTTTCTTTTATTATTTTTTTTAGGATTTTTCGAGGAAGAATTTTTGGTGTAATAGTAAATTATAATTAGAAAGAGAAAGAGTAAGAGAGGGAGAATGTTTTAGGGTTAGGAGGCAGCTTAACCTGTTGAGTGCCGAGCTGTAAATCAAAAGCCCAAGAAGGCGATAAGCCACCGAAACAACAGCCCCCAAGAAAATGCTAGAAAAAAGAAGCAAAGCAAAATACGACGGGTTAAGGGACAGGTACTGGAAAAAGGGTTAAGGAGGTGGGCTGCAGAAGTTTGCCAAATGAAATTTATGGCATATAAATTATCTCACACGTTGCCTGGACTATTGACAGCTTTAAAATAATCGTAAAATGGCCCAAGAAATCCATAAAGAAAACGAAAAAACAAAGAGTACAAATAAAATGTACAAAAAAAAAATAAAGTCAGCAGAAACAAAAAGGCGAAAAGCAGAACCAGTATCAGTCTACCAGAAAACCATGGCCCAGACACACACAGAGCCCATGAATGTGAATTACTATTTCAGCTTTCGACCTAAAAGAGCATTGGGAGCTCCAGCGGGTTAAAGGGGGTGTGAGGCTGAGGGAGGAGGCTTCTTTTGCTCCACGACAGGAGGACAGGCGACGACGTTGCCTTACCCTCGGCCAAGTTTCAGTTTTCAGTTTTCAGTTTCTGGTTCGGGCCAAGCCCCGGGATTGCAGAAATTGAAAAGTTCCCAACAGTTGGGGGGCCCCTCATAACTTTCATAGCACGGGACAGAGACAGGGACAGGGACAGGGACAGCGACAGAGACAAAGACAGCGACAGACATAAAGGAGTGAGACGGGAAGTAAGCTAAAAACTATTTGCCAGATCTGAGAACTCGACTTAGCCAAAGGATATCATGAATCCCAAGACTCTAGTCTCATTCAATGTATTTAATTTTAATGCAATCTTAAGACAAACAAAAATATTTGCAATAAGGTGCCCTAAAATTCTCAAGTAGGGATTCAGGGATACAAAATTATGGGGATGTTGAGCGTAGGAAAGTAACCACTGACAAAATTAGGAATTAGAAAACGTTTAAAAATCCTTTGGAAACACATAATAAACACAAACACTTTCCAAAAAATTTACAAATTTATTACACTCAAGAAATTCTACATTTTAACCTTATTTCAGTTGCTGACTCATTTCATTTGCTGTTAAAGCACAACTTCATTTCGTTAAGATCTAAAAATATATTGATCTAGTTTTTTTTTTATATTATTCCTAACGACTTTGGTTGGCTTCCGCTATCTGGGGACCTAGATCGAGCGACTTTATATTGGATTTTAATTTAAAAGTGCCGGCGATTGGAAACGGGTTTTTTATCGATAGGTTTTGGAAGCTGTATAATATATAATATATATATTTAAACAGTGTTTTTTCTACAGTTTATATTATATATTTTTATTTATTTATTCCCTATTGCCGGACCACCGGCGAAGGCAGTGAAAATTCGTAGGATATGTATTGACAGGGGGAAGAGGGAGAGCTAGAGACTCAACGCCTCATTATGCATGGCAATTTATGGGCCACACCACGCCCTAGAACTAGACCTTAACCCCTTTTGCTGGCAGTTTGCTAAATGCGGCAGCAGCTGCCGTGTCTACGCTTCTTGCTCCATAAATCAAGCAAAGGATCCATAGACCCCGTTGATGGACAAGTTGAAGTTGCAGTTTAAAGTCTGACTTTCAGCTCTTTGCGTCGTAAAAATGAAAACAACAAAAAAAAACTCGAAAAGAAAAATGCCTTTGCAAAAAATAATAATAATAAAAAAAAGAACAGAAGGAGCCAAAAGGAACAAAAATATATGGCTAGGAAAATGCACATTTCTTGGAGGCGCGGACAAAAGCTTCCACGGAAATATTGTTGCAGAGAGGTCCATGGCGATCCATCCTAATCTTCGGGATCGTAATGATCTTCCTTTGTGGCCAGTCATAAATGTTGATGAACGGCAGCGCGAACTTTTGTTGAAGGCGTTGCCAGTATGAGCTTTTGTTGCTGCTGCGTCTGTTGCAGTTGCTGCTGCTGTTGCAGTTGCTGCTGCCGTGCTTAGCTGGCAGCAAAATAAAAATTGAAAAGATGCAGCCAGCAAGATATATATGAAGAAAAATGAGTAGAGGCTGTCCAGGGAAATGTTTCGTTAGAGCAAAGACCGGGAATTACCCTAGAAAGTGATCAACACTTTAAATGCAACACAGGAACAGGAAAATCTTTTATAGATAACAAAGTTATTGGAAATAAATGCAGGAATTTATCATGAGAAAAAACTTGAAACAAGGTTTAGTTAGCAAAGATTAGGGTTTTAATTGTATATAGAAATTAAGCGATTTAAGACTTGTTCAAAGCAGGCCACATCTTCCTTTAGCTGTATCCCTTTCTTTTATCAAATTTCTATATATTTCATAGAAAAAATAAATAATTATTAATGTATAGTTCAATAAAGAAAACATCTATCAAATTCGAAATAAAGTACTATCAATCTTTTAAGAATTTTGCAAACATTTCTACCAATTTTAAAGTTTTCTCCCCAAAGAATTTCTGTTAAACTTTAACCAACTCCTTATTCTATGTAAGACCTATTACCACTTACGACCCCTTCATTAACTAATGGGTACAACGAAAATCGAAAAAGAAAACTCGCTGAGAAACGGTAGAAGCAGGAAGAAGAAAGCTTGGCAGCTTTATGACTCGACTTGTCATCCGTCTGCAGTTGTAAAGACCTCTACCGAACGGGAGTCTATGGCTTCCTGAACATCAATTTTCCAGTAAAATGTCGACAGCTTTTGACTTGAATCGCCTCCGGAGCCTCCGAAAAAAGGAAAACCAAAACAAAACAAAAAACAATAGTTCTGTAAAACAAATTTATGAGGGAGGAAAATTGTGTTCCCCGCTTCATGTCCAATGTCAACAAGTTTTACTGGCGGATTCGCAGTTGCACTTAAAATTTTTACTTTGCCATTATTGATTTCTATAGATTTGTAGGAAAATTTAGTAACTAACAAGTTGTAAATCATAATTCCAATATTAAGGATTATTTTTGGGAATTTTAAGATAGATTTCAGGCTTTCTTGACAATATTTTCAATTATTTACATTGTTTCTTAATAAAAGTAAGCCTTGGTATATGAAAAATAAATGTAATAATTTTATTTTAAATTGTTTTTGTATAAACAACATTAAAATATCCATTGAAACTGGATATAAATGGTACAAATAAATAGGTACCTTTAAAAACACAAGACCAATACATTTTAGAACAAGTTTTCTTAGCATTTTTTCAATATAAATACTTCAACATTTTTATAAAATTCATTTATATAATTTACAAGGTTAAAATTATAAACTTTAGACTGATTTTTAACCTTCAGTGCCAAATATATTTTAAAAACAAACAACTTTTTTGCCATAGCCTTACTATTTGCAACAAAATTTTTATAAAACTTTTCCTCTGACATTAAACAGTCAGCAAAAGTGAAAATTTGACAGGAGAGCAAATGAAACAAAACAAAAAAGAAAAAAAGCAACAACAACCAGTAGCTTATAGAAAACGAAGAACAAGAAGAAGGACAGCACTGGCAGGAAAAATAAGAGGAACAAGCTGAAAAACTTTGACAACTGCGCAAAAGTTTTTCGTAAAATTACAACAAAAACGGAACAAAAAATCAAAACAAAACAAAAGAACAAGAAACTTCAAAAGCACACACAAAATGGACATGCGAAAGAGAGATGGCAAGGCGGCCAAGGAAAAGGAAAGGCGACACAGGAATAGGAAGACAAAAAGGAAGAGAGAGTGACAGAGAAGGTACATTAGACCAGTCCTCCCTCCCTTTCTAGTCCTGCGATCCCTTTCAGAAAAAAAAATAGGAAACAAGTTCAAAAGTGCAAAAACTTTTTTCCGCCTTTCCAGTCGTCGCCATTAAAATCCCTTCCCTTCCATCTTAACCCATTGATGGCCTATCCCAGTCTGTGTCAACAAACCTCAGAAGCAGGATCATAGCAGGATCACCATTTCCAGATCCTTGAAGTTTTAAGCAGCCGTGAAATGGGGTTGCGTTTTATAAGATTGAAAGAATTAAGCGGAAAATCCCGTCGGTATAGCTCTTAAAAAATATTCAATGACAGAAATAGTCCTTATAATGCTCTAAAAAGTTTTTGTTGTACGTTCTTAGCAATCTTAATGGTGTATCAATTAAATTGATATATTTTAGAGAACATGTTTACTTAATATACTTTTCCAAATTATTAAAAAAAAAAAAAAAAAAAAACTATAGAAAATGGGATGAGAAATTCTTTTATCAGAAGAATCCTCAATTCGCAATTTTTATAAAAGATCTTAAAACCCTTATCCGATAAACGGAACTAATGGGTCTATTGATATAAGCCTATTTATAATATTATAATATATATATAATGTTATCCCGAGGAATCTCTTATCATTAACAAAAATATTTTTATAGTTATCCCATGGAATCTACGATTTTTATCATAAATATCTTTTTAGTTTTCTAGACCTTATCGCTGCTTTACAGAAATATCCCTTTCTTAAACTATATTTGTCATATCTAATATAACTTTTAGGTAGGATATTAGCCCTAGACGGCTTGTAAACCCAGACCATGAATAATAGATGATTACATAGAAATAACCCTATTTACAAACTCTTTCTTTGTAATCTTTTAAAGTTATCCTAGAACATTATAATAATAATGAGTAATCTTCTTCGTAGATGATTTATTGATCTCTAGTTTTAACCCATTTTATCGCATTTTCAAATTCAAACCGATATGGATCCCTCTATTAACCCATGATATGACGATTACTTACCGATATTGTGCTGGCTGGTGTGCAGTACCGCCCCGAACGCCATTAGATGGTCCTTGGGCGGGGGGGCGCGGCTACCGAGGGCGGCGAACCCGTCGCCCAGAAATGACGCCAGTGCGACGGCCCTCAGGGGCGCTTTCGAGGCCTCGGTGAGAATTTTGTTGTCGAATATTTTGATGCCGGGGGATATTATATATGGAGTTCTTTTTCGCTTGTTTTTTTTTTTGGCAAGGGGGGACGGGGGTTAAGTTTTGGGCGCCTTTGTGACCTTTTTTTCGGCTTCTTCCTTTCTTGTTTGAGGGGGCGTCAGTGGGTTAGGTCTCCAAAAATAACGGTGCGTATGTTGTGGGTCCTGTGTGCGTCTCTGTGTGTGTGTGTGTGACTGAGCCTGAATAATGTGTGTGTGTGCGTGGTAGGGGTACGAGTTCCGAGTGTGTGGGAGGGAGTGTGTGAGAGAGGCGAGAGGTGAGGTGACAGGCGAAGGAAGAGAGAAAACGCGGGGATCCGCACTTGCACACTTAACGGTAAGCGCGCATCAACAGAGAGCGAGTGGAGCGGCTGCGGAGCGGAGTGGGGGCGGCAGGCAAGTCGAGCGAGATAGCACGTGTGTGCCGGCGGCAATTTCAGTAAAAACAAAAACAAAGCGCGAAATGCCGTTATTTTGCGATTTGTAGCATTTAGTTGTTGTGTATATTTTTCTTGCTTCTCTTCGTGTAATTAACTCCTTATTTTTTCTATACACTTCACTTTTTCGAATTTTCTTTTTGTTTTGTTGCTTGCTTTTAATGCTTCTTATTCGTATATTCTTGTGTTGTTGTTGTTGCTGATGGTGCTGTTGCTTCGAATCACTTGCAAAAAAATTGAATTTCGTATTTTGTCGATTGCTGGCGATCTACGGTTATTCTTTTGCGCGGCGGAAACAGCTGACTCGAAAGGTAAGCGGTAAATCGAACAGCGTAGCGTTTGTCTTCCCCGTTTTTGCGTGCGCTTGCAGCGCCTCACGAACGTCACGTCAAACAAAAACTGAAAACTGAAAACGGTAAACGCCAAACGGCGACGGCAAAGCGGACGGCCCGATTGAAAAGCCGAACGCACACACGAACGCCGAGCCGAAGCGGCGACGAATGGCGCGGCGAATGGGCGAGCGAGATAGCTGACCGCGCCGGTATCGTTCGTACCCATTGCCGCTAATCGGGGCGCTGGTGTTCGCCTTTGATGGGCTAGTTGCTAGAGCGAGATGTAGCGAGTGGTGGTGTCGTTCGTTGCTGCTGCTGCGGCGTCGACTGCGCTGCTTGCGGCGCTGCAATGGAGTCGCTGGCTGCTCTCTCTCTCTCTCAGGGTCTGGTAGTTGTTGTTGTTGTTGTTGGTGGTGCAGCAGCATACGATTCCTCGCTATGGCTTTGTTGTTGCTACTCTTCGTTTGGGCTTGTTGTTGTTGTTATCTCACTCTCTTGCCAATTGTTGTTTCTGTTATCATTTTGCAGTACAAAAAAATATAATATTATTTGAATTAAAAAAATTATAATGAAAAAAATTAACATATGAAAATTTCAAAATAAAAACGGTATTTAAAATAATGCGCCTAGCTAAAACATTTCGTATTTTTAATTCACCAATAGGCATGTATCTTAGATTTTATTTTATCCTTTGTAATTAAAGTGTTGTTATAAGTTTTGAAATAAAAATGTTCACCCTAATATAATTATATATAAATAAATAATAAAAATAGGACTAACAGGATGTATATACATGTATATGAATTGGAGTGGGCTAGATCTGTAGACTATATTATAATTTATTAGGAAAAATTGGGTAATATATAGGGAATTTTACATAACTTTGTTATATTTTAACATCATCACATATATCGTTATTCGTAACGATTTTTGCCAATATATTTATTTTTTTTTGTCACAATGTGATATATCTTATAAAATGTGCACATGTGTCTAAAATCGATTGAATTAAATATTACAAAAATAAAAATGTTAAATACTAAAATATAGTAATATAGCTGTCATAGAAGAGATTAGTTAATTTCTGAGTGAGCCTATATAATTATAAATATTTTATAATTCTTCAGATTGGTATTAATGCCTTCTCTTATTACAAACTGCCAGGTTCTTCAAGTTTTCTTTTATATAATTTACAAAATATTTTGCAAAATAAGTAATAGTTAAAAGTCTAAGTCTTAAAAGCAGGTATATGCAAATTTTCGATATTACAATAAAACTTAAAATATATAAATCACAGTATTTTAATTTTTTGTTATTTTGTAACGTATTTTTTTTCTTCTTCGATCTTATCATATCTACTGTTCTTGTTGGTTTTGTGTTGATATCTCTTTGCGGGGTGTGTTGTTGTTGGCGCTTTGTTGTTGTACTCCCATTTTGCACATTGTTGTTTGTGTTGTTTTTTATCAACTCCCCATATGGTTGTTGTTGCTCTCTCTCCGCCAGTGTTGTTGCATTCGACTGAGAGCGGGCATCGTAATTTTGCGGTTAGAGGGGGCGTTGCTAAGCAACTGGTTTTCTTTTTTTGTTTTTTTTTTGTTGCTTTGCTTTTGCTTTTCGCTTCATCGAGAGATGCGCAAAAGTTTCGCTCTCGCTCGCAAAGCTCGCCCTCGCTCGCTTGCTCCAACGCCATCCTCACGCTCTCTCTCTTTCGCTCACAGAGCCAATGGCATTTTTCAAAGTGACATTTGCCCGCGTTTTGTCTCTTTCACACTTCGGCCTGTGTGCCTGTGAGTGTTGCGTTTCGAGTGTGCCGTGTGGCAGTATGCTTGTGTGTGCGCCAAGGTAAAATGTCAAATGCTTTTCGACTGTCAACTGTTGGTCGCAAAAAAGTTTTCTCTCTTTTTTTTCCCTCTGTTTTTTGTTCAACTGCTGCTGCTGCTTCTGCTGCTGCCGTTTCTTCTTCTTCTTCGCCTTCGTCTTCTTCAACTTGTGTTTGTCACTTGTCGTCAGCAGAGCGAAAGAGAGAGCAAGAGGCACGAGGTGGTTGACGTGTGGTGGGGGTGGGCAGAGCGAAGAGTTGGTGAGAGGAGGACGACCCTTTGGCGTTTTAACGCATTCGAGACACCAACAAAAATAAAGAAGGCAAAGAAGCAACATAACCACAACAAAAAAAATGAAGGCGGGCAAAAATGTAACAAAAACACAAAAAAAAAACTTTAAAAAAATACTAGTATTTTTCCAAATAATTCCAAGAAAACATAAAAAAAACTTTGAGGTAAATAAGGGAAATAATACTAAAAACCTTAATGCAAATATAAAAGTTCATAAAACATAAGGTTCCTTATATATTTTAATTAAAAACCTATTTTAAAATACAAATATGTTTCAGCTAGAAATATTAAATAAAATAAGAAACGGAAACTACACAAAAATTAATAGTCCAAATTAAAATTGAAAGTTATAGAACAAATTGTTCTTTGTGGATATAAAAAAATAATAATAAATAAAAGAGATCAGTTGCCTATATAACATGTTTTAGAAAAAAAAAACCAAATTTAATTATATATACTAATGTAAAATAAATAAATTATTAAAAAGAAAAATAAGTATCCTATAATTATATATAACAAATTACACACCATAAACTTATAAACTTACTAAGCTAAGTTACTTCTTCAAAAATAATTCAAAACATTTTGTATTCTGTTTGCGTTTGCAATTCGCATGCCAAAAAAAATGGAAGGCGAAAAAATGCGACATGGTAATAAGCCAAAGATCAAGCGCAATAAAAGCAAAGGCAAAAATACAAAAAAAAAAATAATAATAATAAAATAAAAAGAGAGGGGGAAACAACTGAGCGCGACAGAGAGGCGTGTGCAGGGAGCAAAAGAGAGGGACCGACTGTGGGTGGCGCTCTTGCGAGTCGTTTCTCGCCACCTTCCTGCCTCCATTGCCCCACTCCCACACTCGCTCTCCTTGTCACACTTCAATACGGTGAAGAAGAAGATGTTCGACGAAAATTAGGGAGCAGTCGGGGGTTAAAATGTCCCGTTGTGGGTGTTGGCGAGGGGAGACAAAAAATATTTCACATTAGGGTGTTAAGCTGCGAAGTGCTTTTCTTTCCATCTCTCCCTCTCTCTCTCACTCTTTGTATTGTGGGTGGGTGGTGTTTTACTTGCCTCCCACTTTTCTGGGACTATCGAAAAGTTATCGAAATCGGTTGATCTCTGACGTCCTTGAAAATTTCTGCTCCAAATTCAGGAAGAAAACAGATGGAAGTAAGCGAGAGGGAAGATGGAAAACATTTGAGAAGAGTTCTTGCTTTTGTTAAGTCAGGAAAGTTTTAAGTTTTGGGTCACGAAAAGATAAATTATTTAAGTAGACATCGTCATCTTGTGGAGCCGTAAATTTGTCCAGAAATTGTTGTGGTCTTTCTAGCTTAGGATTTTACCGAATATGAAGAGTAGAATTATGAATTGTGTCTTGCTATGACATTTTTAGTCACATATGTCCCAGAAGTTTTCCAATTTATTGTACATAGATCCGGTATATGTAGTATCCCTGTGACTTATTTGTATTCAGTTAATAAATTCACTTGTAGAATTGCTTTTAAACCGGGAAGCTTTTTTAACCTAGTGTGTATGTACTATATGAGGAGTCCTCTCCAATCCGACCTTATTCAGACCTGAACCCAATAGGAATGGTACACTGATATGTTACTTTGACCCTATTTATTGCGTATATTGGACACTTCCCCCTGTGTTGTGGTATGTATTTGTCGCGGATCCACTCTGCTGGGTCTTCTCCTCGCTCTGGTTTTCCAGAAGCAGTGGGCACCCTTATGGAAAACTAGAGCGGATAGCAGGCGGATCACTGGAACTGGAACCCCTTGCAGCATCCAAAGTCCAAGATCTGTGCCACGTCGTAAGAGAAGCGTTACTTGGCGTTGTATCTCCATTGGGGATGTGGACTTCTCCATTGTTGATTGAAGACATGACTAAGGATAATGAATTCGCTACGGCCTTGCGGAATCTTGGAAAGAAAAGCTTGTTAATAATAGTAACTGATAAACTCGCGTATATGTAGGCTTACTCAAAATTTCGGTTGCCAAAGAAATGTTTTCCAGTTTTTTGTATTTTTGTGTAAAAATGAAAAATATAAAAATTTTTTGTTTTTTTTTTCGACCTTACTACTTGCTAATGCGTTGGTGTACTGAATATGTTCTCCCATTTGTTCGGAAGGTAAACAAAATAATGACATTGGATTCCATGATATATAGTTTTTTAAGTAAAAGTAAACAACTATACATTTCAAAAACTATAGGAAGATATATGAGAAAAATAACGATTAATAAAACTATACTATAATATTGCATAGAAAATATAACAAATTTATAAAAAACAGATATAAAAAACATGAGAAATAATGAATGAAATAAATGATTAAAGGTCGTTGGGATCCACACTCTCATTCCTAATCTATCATCTCATTCGAAGCTTTAAACTTTGCCTTTACCTTTATCTTTACCGTTACCTTTGGCTCCTGTACCTGCTCGGGGTGCCCCTCATTCTCGACTTTTTCACCCCGCTGCTTGGTAAACGCTAACAAATGTCAGTTATCAAAAATCACTGTAGCACCGAAAAACAAGTAGGAAAGGCCAATGTTCGTTGAAGAAGTCTTTTAAATACTCTGCATATTTTATTGAGAAATGTGTAATATTTTAAATTCAAAATTAGTTAACAGCCGAAGTATTAAGCCCAGAACGGAGTAAAGAACTAAATCTAAACCAATTAAATAAACAACCTAGTGAGATTTTATATAATTTTGGTAATCTGGATTCTCTTAAAACCAATATAACATTTAGAATTATAATACAAGTACTATTAGGTTATCAGACCTTAATAAATAATATTTAACCAATATTATTTTATCACTTGCCGAGTTCCTATTGAAAATGTAAGTACCTTAAGGGAACTACAAAGAAATAAGAAAAAGAGGAAAATGAAAGCCCGACGTAAAACAAACAAGTAGCGGTAAGAAAATGTTGGCCATTCCGTGATAAGGCGCAGCTTACTGCCACGCCCACCCAGTGCCACCCACGAAAGAAGGGTGGGGAGGGGGGGGGGTCGTTTTTAAGGGGCGACTGGCAGGTCGATGGCCACAACAACAAAATCAACAATAAAAAGAAAGCAAAGGAAGCGCGACGAAGTTCGCGACGCGCCATAAACTTTTTGGCAGGCGGTGTGGAAATTCGTCCTCGAGAAGAAGAAACATTTAAAGGCCAAAGATATACAATGGTGTATTTAATATTAATATTTACATATTTATTAAAACTAAACAAATGATATTAATATAATTTACAAGAAGTTTTTAAGCCTTATTAAAATATCAAGGCTTAGTACGATTGGAGTTAATAAGATACTTTTGAAAAATATTAATTAAATAGTATAAATTTATAATTTATATTATTTATTTTATTTTTATTTAATTTTTACCTCATTAGTGCAAATATAAAATCAAAAACAAAGCGTTAAGGAGCTGGCAAAACCAAGTTTACTGACAACAAAAGGTTGCGGCTACCGATTTCTTTCTTTTTTTTGGTGAGTCAAGTGCTTGTCCCGCCACGCCCCCTTAGTCCACCCACTGCCATATGTACCTCACATCCTTTCTCCCACGCCCTTTAATACTCCCCCGTAAATGCAACCAGTCACGAACTGAACAAACAGCAAACGGACGTCGCCAAGGAGGAGGATTTCCAAGGGGAGTAAGGTAACTGAACATGTAAGAAAGCCACCGTCAAGTGTGCTCGACCATGACATACCCTGTACTCAAAAACAAAACATACATTTCCAATCGAGCACCAACACTATTTAATGTTTATGTTGTATGTCTTCCACCGGGGTTGTGATAAGTTGTATATTGAGTAGTTAATCATCGCGGATCCACTCTGCTGAGTCTTCTCTTCGATCTGGTTTTCCAGAAGCAGTAAGCAAGCCTAGGACTTTACCGAATGTGAAGAGTAGAATTATGAATTATAAATCCTAGCAACTTTCCAATTTATTGTATATAGTTCCGGTATAAGTAACTTCTTTGTATTCAGTTAATAAATTCATTTGCAGAATTGCTATTAAACCGGGAAGCCTTTTTAACCTAGTGTGTATGTACATATATGAGGAGTCCTCTCCAATCCGACCTCATTCAGACCTGAACCCAATAGGAATGGTACACTGATATGTTATTTTTCTACTTTGACCTTATTTATTGCGTATATTGGACACTTCCCCCTGTGTTGTGGTATGTATTTGTCGCGGATCCACTCTGCTGGGTCTTCTCTTCGCTCTGGTTTTTCAGAAGCAGTGGGCACCCTTATGGAAAACTAGAGCGGATAGCAGGCGGATCACTGGAACTGGAACCCCTTGCAGCATCCAAAGTCCAAGATCTGTGCCACGTCGTAAGAGAAGCGTTACTTGGCGTTGTATCTCCATTGGGGATGTGGACTTCTCCATTGTTGATTGAAGACATGACTAAGGATAATGAATTCGCTACGGCCTTGCGGAATCTTGGAAAGAAAAACTTGTTAATAATAGTAACTGATAAACTCGCGTATATGTAGGCTTACTCAAAATTTCGGTTGCCAAAGAAAAGTTTTCCAGTTTTTTGTTTTTTTGTGTAAAAATGAAAAATATAAAATTTTTTTTTCTTTTTTCGACCTTACTACTTGCTAATGCGTTGGTGTACTGAATATGTTCTCCCATTCGTTCGGAAGGTAAACAAAATAATGACATTGGATTCCATGATATATAGTTTTTTAAATTTCGAGAAGTTCAAAAATTTATAAAAACTCATCAAATTGAGCAGACGCTTAACTTAAATTTAAAATATAAAAACAAGTAAAAAATAGTTATCCTTTTTTCCAGTCAAATCGAAAAGATGAAGCACCCTTTCATGTGGGCGGTCGTTGGCTGCCACGCCTTAATGCATTTATTGTGGCTGTGTGTGTGTTTACCAAAAAAAGGAGAAAAATTAAAAAAAAAGGAAACAATGCATAAATAAATAAAAGTGCAAAAAAAGGCAAAAGAAAAACCAGAAACAGCAACACGAACAAGGCAAAATCTGCTGTTCTGTGTCACTTTTGGCTTGTTTGTTGCGGAAAATACTTTTTCCCTCAAGGAGAATATAGGGTAGCAGCTTGGGGTAGTAGCATTTGGGGGTAAGGTCTTGAAAAATCGAAAAAATAAGTAATAATAAGTAATAAGTTGTTTTTAAATTTCAGAAATGTATAGAGATTAATTTAAAATTTATTAGATGTTTCTTTTATGTGATTTGAAAACTTTAAGAATTATTATGAATTAAAACATAACCAATTATCCTTTTATCTATATATTAATTTATTGAACTATTGCCTTTTATTATTTATTTTTGAATTATTTATTAATTTACCTATTTATTTGTTCTAAAATTTCCATTTCTTATTTGTTTTTCTTTTTAGAAAAGAAGCAGACCAACATTCTCCTCAGCTTGGGTGAGTTTTTAATGTTTTATTTTAAAATTAAGTGGTCTGCCAAAAATTGTATAAAGGGGTTAATTTGATTTCTCAAGATCTTTGGATGGAAATATTACTCAGCCCCAAAAAAGTCCTTTTACCAATGGCACTGAACTCTAAACTAAAGTAGTTTTGTTTTTGTATTACAACTTGGTTCTTTTCCCCTAATTTTGTTTTGTATTTTCTTATACATTTTTTTTTGTTGTATTCAAATATTATGAGATTTTGCTATTCAGCCCCTACTATTCATGGAATTTTCCACCCCCACTTTCCAATTTCTGCACCCTTTTCTTTTATATTTTTCAAGTTTTTTGTATCTTTTGCATTTTCTGTTTGTTTGCGTTGGCAACATGAATGTTGTCACTTGGTTTTTGCCAAGTTCTTGTAGTTTTCATTCTTTTTTCTTTTCTTTTTGTAGCCCCTCCCCCGCACAGACCCCCGTTTTCTTTTGGGGATATCTTTTCTCGTTTTTTGACATGTTGTCAACTTCACGTAATGTCAGACAAGTTTCAAGTTTTTCTCTTCGCTCCTTGTGACATGCATGTGAACAACAACTGATTTTCCCCTCTCCGCCCAGCCCCACCATACCAAAAAATTGAATATGAAATTTTCTCTGTTTGTTTTTGATTTGGTTTTGTGTATTCCTCCTCCATTTTGGCCATGCAAACCGCAAAAATATGACAACTGTTTAAGGCTGCGCAAAACTAAGATTACTTTTTGGTTGTCAAAAAAAAAAAAATAAAAAAATAATAATAATAACATATATATGTTATTTGTAAAGAAAAAACGATTTTATGTGGTAGCTTAAACATTTTATAGTCGATATTTATATTGGAATTCAAATCTTTTTTATGGAAATATAATACTCAATAAAGAATTGAAGAAATTATTGATTAATAATTAACAAAGAATTGTTTACATTAGGGCATTAATAAATATATAATTAAATATATTGGTTATCGATTTAATCAATACATTCTTATCGGTTTCCGTGGCGCAGTAATAATTGATTAATTAACTATTTTGCAGTAATTTTAATGATAAAGGAATATATTCTATAGAATCTTATTCTTCTATGATAGCTGAACTATTTATATTTAAAGATTTTTTTATATTTAAACAAATTTCCCCTTTTCTATGTTTATTACAATTAACTTATTATATTTAATTTTCCTTTCTAAATGCATTTCCTAAATATTCATGTAGCTTGGCCTTAGATCTCCAGCTTGCTAATTTCAGATATGTGTGTGCGTCCTTAGTATCTTTCGATCTTTCGCATCCTTCGTATCATTTACATTCCTCCCCACGACCACAAATTCTGAAATACTCGTTTCACAGCGAAAGTATCTGGTGTGTGTATCTTTATATCTTTGCATCTGTTGGCTGCTTTGTTAATTTAAACTGTGGACGAGTGTGTGTGTGTGTGTTTGTGTGTTTGTTTGTGTAGACATCGTCGTCCTGTGGAGCCGTAAATTTGTCCAGAAATTTTTGTGGTCTTTCTAGCTTAGGACTTTACTGAATGTGAAGAGTAGAATTATGAATTGTGACTTGCTATGACATTTTTAGTCACATATATCCTAGCAGTTTTCCAATTTATTGTATATAGTTCCGGTATATGTAGTATCCCTGTATGTGACTTAATTGTATTCAGTTAATAAATTCATTTGCAGAATT